TCATAAAACAAGAGCTTTGTTGCACCCATATTTCATTACATAATAGAAGACCTATTTAAATTATGTTATTGTAATAACAAATACAACTGGGATAAAAATGTTGGTAGTAAACATACCTGGCTCTTGGTAAACATATAAATTTACTTGTGGGAAAAGAATGCACACATAGTATAGAATAGCTAGTACACTACAAGCTTTTTTTTTTAAGAAAACTTCTTTCTCTTTTTTTTGTTTCAAGTTTTTATTTAAATTCTAGTTAGTTAACATATAGTGTAATTTGGTTTCAGGAGTAGAATTTAGTGATTCATTACTTACATATAAACACCCAGTGCTCATCACAAGTGCCCTCCTTAATACCCATCACCCATTTAGCCCATTCTTTTACCCACCTCACCTTCAGCAACGCTGTTTGTTCTCTTAACTATAGAATCTCTTATGATTTGCCTCCCCCTCTGTTTTTATCTTATTTTATATTTCTTTCCCTTCCCCTATGTTCATCTGTTTCTTAAATTCCACATATGAGTGAACCCATATGGCATATTTGTCTTTCTCTGACTGACTCATTTTGCTTAGCATAATACACTCTAGCTCCACCCACATTATTGCAAATGGCAAGATTTCGTTCTTTTTTAATGGCTGAGTAATATTCCACCGTGTGCACGCATGTGCACGCGTGTGTGTGTACCACATCTTCTTTATCCCTTCGTCAGTCGATGGACATTTGAGCTCTTTCCATAATTTGGCTATTGTGGATAATGCTGTAAGCTATAAGCTTTTAATATGCAGTGGACCTCACTCAATGTTTATAGAGGGAATGGAGACATTGTTAAATAAAGGTTAAAACTTCTATGTCTTTCCAGAAATGAGGAAAGAAAAAGTTAATTTTCTTTCTGTGAAGACATTGAGAGCTAAGTGTATCACAGGACTTAAAACAGTAAAAACTCTAAAGATGTTTTTTTTTTTAAGATTTTATTTATTTATTTGAGAGAGAGAGAATGAGAGAGCACATGAGAGGGGGGAGGGTCAGAGGGAGAAGCAGGCTCCCCGCCGAGCAGGGAGCCCGATGTGGGACTCCATCCCAGGACTCCAGGATCATGACCTGAGCCGAAGGCAGTCGCCTAACCAACTGAGCCACCCAGGCGCCCTAAAGATGTTTTTATTTTACTAAGTTAACTAGGTTGAATACTGGCTCAAGTGTCTACCTAAACCATCAAGTTTGTTTTCATATAAAATTTTCAACATGTGAAATATATCTTGTATATATATTGTATTGAAATATATATATATTGTATTTTGTATTGAAATATATATGTATATTGTATTTTTTCAGTTACACCTCATCAGATTTTGGTGATTTTTTTGTATTCTCAAATGTTTAAGGATGCAATTTTCTGTTAAGATTTATTCATTATCAAAACTTTCTATTAAAAAATATAGCTTCCAAGGTCCTATAACACATACAGTCCTACAGTACATATTATTTCTATAATTTATTTGATGCTTAATATGCTCATTTACCTAACATTTATTATTATCTGTTCTTATGCAAATTAGTATAGCTTGGTGGAGAGTTAGAGGAAAAAAAGTGAAATAACCTTGAACTCAATGAATTTAGATTACTCAACTTCCCAACTAAGTGATACTACATTGGGGAAACCAGACTGTTCATTTGTTTACTTTTATAACTCATCTCTTTTGTGTCCAGTGGCTTGTCCATACATAGTTCTGTTATTTGAAGTCTTTATGGGTCTGTTTCTCTGTTTTGTTGTTTCTGCTGTGTGCTAGGTTGTCTTTGATTTTTTGCTTGTCACTGTACTTGGAAAATTATTTATGCAAATAATTTGAGGCCAAGGATGAAGGTCACTTTTTTTTTTTTTAAGATTTTATTTATTTGACAGAGAGAGACACAGCGAGAGAGGGAACACAAGCAGGGGGAGGGGGAGAGGGAGAAGCAGGCTTCCCGCTGAGCAGGAGCCCGATGTGGGGCTCCATCCCAGGACCCTGGGACCCTGACCTGAGCCAAAGGCAGACGCCCAATGACTGAACCACCCAAGTGCCCCTGAAGGTCACTTCTTCACAGAAGATGTGTATTTACTGAAGTCTCTGTGGTTAAAAATGATTTGGAGATCATCCTAAAGTTCAAGGCTTGAGTTTTTGTTGAAACTCCAGGCAATAAAACCCAGGTTGTAAATACGCTAGAGTGCTGGTTATTTATTATTCTATCCGTAGCCTAAGAGTTTAGATTTTTGAGGTTTCAGATGATTGTAGGGAGGCCCCCTTATTAGACTATGCACCTTGTATAGACACTGGCCTTTGATTTCTGCCCCCTTGCTTAGGATGTTTTCAAAATCAAAGTTCACATTTTCTAGGGAAATATACTCAGGAAACAAAAACAATTTCTCTGCTTGTTTATCTCCCAGTAGTTCCATTTTCCTTCAGAAATTCCTTATCATGTCACCTATTTGTTGCTTATAAGAAGTTATTTCTATTTTATCCAGCATTCCTAGCTTGTTTCAAGGGGAGGGTTGGTCTGAATGACCTGGCTTCTATTTGCTGGAAACATCCACTGTATAGGTAGGTGCTTCCTCTTTCGGTGATTGATTTGATTTATAAGTGATAGAAACACCATGTCGCCAAAAAGGTTTGATCCTGCCTTACCTTTGAAAATTTCCAGAGAAAGTTTGATTGAATTTTATGCTTTGGTTTCCATATTTATGGACTATGACTTTGCATGAGTAGGTATAAAATGAAAAGTGCTGGTCATGCCTAAAGCAAGAAACATTGACTGCCTAGCAACAGATTTTATTTATAGGTTGATTAAACAAGGGTTGCAATAAAAAGGATAGTTTATATCTGTTGGTGAAGAAATGAAAATGGTTCATGGAAACTCTTTCTGTATCAGTGTATATGTGGGGAGGGCGGGGAGATAGTTAACTAAATGTGGTGGCATCCGGAATCGGTAATAATCCAGATGTTTATACCTTCATAAAAATTACTAACCCCCCGTGGATGCAACAAGAGCCCTTTGTAGCACTTCAGTTTTCTGGTACCAACAGTCCAACCACAAGGGGATTGTTTTTTGAATGGTTGTGTTACTGAAACAACATATTTTATAAGTGTTTTATATTTATTGCTGTATCCATTACATAAAAACTCTACTGGGTATAGAATAGATTGTAGGAATTGCCAAAAGTGTTTATGGCCATGTTTTAGTGATAAGGGCACTGGGTTGGAAAACTGGAGATCTGAAACATCTGTCACTGATTTGAGGTTTGATTTTCAGCAGATTTGGATATACTCTAAGATTACATTTTGCCATCTTTCTATTGTTAATTTTGAAAAAATAATGGGATGTTTTTGCTAATAATTTATTGGCTGGGAATGCTGAGTAAGAAAGCTATAAATCCATGGTCCATAAAAATATAGGATTAATAATCCAGTCATTTAAAGTCCCCATTTACTAGCTTTTAAGCCTTCCTGCTTTATATGCAAATATAAATTATTTCACAAAAATTTAAGAGACACATGGCTTAAATTTGGAGTCACATAAAGGATAACAATTAAAAATAGTTCTGTCTCAATACCATATGATTTCTCTCATATGTGGAATTTAAGAAACAAAACAAATGAACATAGGGGAAGGGAAGGGAAAATAAAATAATATAAAAACAGAGAGGGAGGCAAACCATGGGTAACTCTTAACTACAGGGAACAATCTGAGGGTTGCTGGAGAGGAGGTAGTTGGGGGGGATGAGCTATATGGGTGCTGGGCATTAAGGAGGGCCCTTGCTGGGATGAGCACGGGGTGTTGTATGTGGGTGATGAATCACTGGATTCTGCTCCTGAAGCCAGTGCTGCACTGGATGTTAACTAACCTGAATTTAAAAATAAATAAATAAATAAATAAATAAATAAATAAATAAATAAATAAATAAATAAAATAAATACATGAACAGGTAACCATTAAAAAACAGTTTTGTCTCCATCAAGAAAAATTTATCTTTGCCTTTTGTAAAGAATCTAATTAAAACATGGCCCATCACATTATCCCAATAGCACTTCTTATTCACATTATGCAAATGTAAAAGTTTCAAGTATCAATCCAACTTCTCTCTCCATTACCAATAAAGTTGTTTCTTTTGAGACGCTAAAACTACTAACCTATAACTCCTGAGTAAAAGTACAATGCCTAAAATAAAAATAAAAATAAAAATTTATTTATGGATAAAAGGCACACAAATCTTGTCTTCAGGGATCTTCAGGACTGACAGGCTTACATCTTAACCACAATTTTGTGCTTTTTATTTGACCAAAATAAAAGGGCTAAGAAATATGCCCCGAGTTTTTATGAAAAGCTGGTACAAACTTAAAAGGCAAGTTTTATGTGTTTTAAACCACAACAATAAATTGTCAACAGAAGTTAGAGCTTAACTGCAATGTCTGTCTGATCCAAGATCAGTATGTTTTTCAGAATAACAGTTTATTTATGAGAAGAAAACAGCCCTGAGAAGACATTTAAAGATATGTAGAAATGGTTTAAAACTTGAGGTCAAGCATTTGAAGATTGTGAAGCAGCTTTCTATTTGAGATCTGAACATCTGTAGTTATAGTCAGTGTAGATTGTACATAGTGACTGAGCTGTTGTAGGAAGTCTGAAAATAATTCACTTATAGCAGCTGGATTTTTTTTTAAAGATTTTATTTATTTATTTGAGAGAGAGAGAATGAGAGAGAGGGGAGGGTCAGAGGGAGAAGCAGACTCCCTGCCGAGCAGGGAGCCCGATGCGGGACTCGATCCAGGGACTCCAGGATCATGACCTGAGCCGAAGGCAGTAGCTTAACCAACTGAGCCACCCAGGCGCCCTATAGCAGCTGGATTTTTAAGACTTTATCATTTCCACTAGTGGATCCCTGGTGCTTCTTGACTGGCTCACATTAGGCCCTCAATTGCTGTGTTTGACAAAAAGGTGGCACCAGAGATAGATGCCATGCGGTGAGGAGTGACAGTGAGAAAAAGTTTAATTTAAACAAAGTATCTTTGAAAGGAAATATTAATTCCCAGGCTTTCAATCTAAGATAACATATAGTAAATTAAAAGGAAGACAGATTTTAGCCTTGTGAAGCTTTTCCAATTTCTGAATGAGTTTATTTCTTTATTTCCTGTCAAAGTAAGCACAGAGAAAATAAATTTGATTAAGAAGCCTCAGTGAAGGGATTTTCTGTCAGAAGAGTTTTTCACAATGAGTCAATCCAAGCCCGTCTACACAGGCTGACTCCAGTTTACACAAGCTAGGTTAGTGCATATTTGTTTTTGGTCACCTGGGTTCACACTTTGGGGATGAACGAATGGAGCTGAGGATAGGGGTTAGGGGGATGCAGGAAGAAATAGACTGGGTCTCTCTTTTCCTTGTGAACTGTGGTTTTTCCTTCCCTCTGCTCATTGCAGATGTGGCTACTGCTGGCAATCCCCTGACCATCCTCACAGTCATTTTAGGGCTGCAGTCCATGGTGACAAAATGCTATTTATGACCTACACTTCGTGTGGCTTTCTCTTCTTTATGTAAAGGGATCTCCAGAGGGAAGCTTCTTGTGTACTTACCCTTGTTATTAGCTGGAAGGTTTTCCTTTCTTTCTTTCTTTCTTTCTTTCTTTCTTTCTTTCTTTCTTTCTTTCTTTCTTTCTTTCTTTCTTTCTTTCTTCTTCTTTTTAAGATTTTATCTATTTGAGAGTGAGAAAGAATGAGAGAGAGAGAGAGCATGAGCAGGGTGAGGGGCAGAGGAAGAAGCAGACTCCCGGCTGATCAGGGAGCCTGCCTCGGGGCTCGATCCCAGGACTCAAGCTGGAGGAATACGCCTATCCAACTGAGCCACCCAGGCACCCTTAGCTGGAAAGTTTCTGTGAAACCTCAGAAGTGTTAAGAGCTTGTTTCAGAGGCTGGAAGATGGGGATCTTGAGACCGCTTCTGCTTCCTCATTTTAAACTATAGAATCCACTTATTTTGACTTGGAACTGGGGTGTCCTTGCTTCCATTCCTCAGGCAGAAGTAGAAGAACTATGCCATTTGGATATTCTAATTTTAATCAAATCCCCTCCTTACAGAAACTGTTACGGACAGAAAGTAGTATTAGCAAGCTCTGCTTTATTAATTTTGTGTCATCAATTTGGCCTTTGTATTTGGCTTCAGGTAAAACAAAGTGGGGGTGAGATCTCAATGCTGTCATTGGTTCAGTTTGCTTCACTTTACCTTGACCATTCAAGAGTCTCAGAACACACATGCATCCTCAAATATAGATAAACACCACTGAACTTGAGTAGAATGAACTCTTGGCTCATAGCTCAAGTGAGCAGACCTTTTTTTTTTTTTTTTTTTTCCCTGATTAGGTGATGCTTTAACTGTCTTTGGGGTGCATCTGCTTCTTTTCCCACTTACCACCCACACTCCATTTGTGGTGGAGTGACAATATATGCTGTTTAATTGCATAGCTACTTCTGGGTGAAGCTGGGAGAGAGAAGGGGGATTAAGTTGCATATGGCTAGCTCAGTTGTTATTGAACGATACTCTGACTGATGCCTGATGTCTGCAGAGGATTTTCTTTGGATCCTGATCAATGGAGTGCTGGACACTGAGGACAGCAAATGGCCATTTTCTCTCCTGTCTTTCAAATGAAGTATGTCCTCTCTGAAGGGCAATCTATCTGGGCTGGCTCTCAAGTTTAAATGTAAACGACACTGTGTTCCTTACTTTGAAGGCAGACACAAGCTTATTCCATTGATGGCCAAGAGGCTTTGTGGAAGGAAGCAGATTTTGGTACAAGTTTAAAATTCAGCCAGTATTATACCTCTTCGGGAAGCTTGATGGGAAGACTCCTTTAATGTGGTGCATGCGTCCTTTACATGGCTGGGAGCTCCTGGGACTGGAACCTGGTGCCCTGTCTGTGCAGAGGTCAGCTGGTGAGTGCATCCTGCTCTCTTTGCTCAGATAGACTGACACTGATTTTTTTTTTCCTTCCAAATAGAAATCATAGGAAAATTTGAGCAACTCAAATCTACAAGGAGGTATGGTTTTAAAAACTCATGTTCTCAACAGCTTACTATTGAGTAAGTTAGTCGTAGAGAGACAACGTTACCACTACGTAGGAACGTCTGATGTGCCTGGCACTCCAAAGAGGATTCTGTGCTGCCGTCCATCTCATGTGGAAGCAGTGTGTTCTATAATGGGGGAAAAGATAAATGAAACATTGCGCACTAAGAAAGGACTTTGGTCGGTTTATTTTATTTAAGAATATTCATACCAGTCTGAGATTTCCTGTCTTGTGATTTGAGTAGTAGAGCCCGTGATGGGGCTTTTTGAGCAGGTTCCTTCTCTGAGGTGGGCTGATTTGAGAGTACTTAAACTTGGCCCTCCTGCCATTGCAAACTGTCCCGAGAAAGTGATCTGGAGTGAGTTATTTGCCTTCTAGTGTCCTTAACTATAAAAACACAGTGACTTTCCTTCTCTGCATTGCATCTAAAGATATAATGAGAATATATCAACGAAGTAGTGTAATTACTGCTTTTAAAGTTTTGGCAGTCACGTGCTGTGTGAGGTATTTATGTCAGCCAAACTAACACCCGACAAAGTAACACCTGATTCATTACCTTTTCTTCAAGAGACAAAGTAAAGAAGGTGCTGTCAAACACTGTTGTAGAAAAAGGGAAGGAGGGGCCCCTGGCTGGCTTAGTCCATAGAGCATGCAACTCTTGATCTCGGGGTCATGAGCTTGAGCTCCAAGTTGGGTGTAGAGTTTACTAAAAGAAAGAGAGAGAGAGAAAGAGAGAGAGAGAAAGAAAGAAAGAAAGAAAGAAAGAAAGAAAGAAAGAAAGAAAGAAAGAAAGAAAGAAAGAAAGAAGTGAATCTTGGGGACTAAGACTATTAACCCTGCCTAAAAATTTGTTGTTGTTATCAGATTAAAGTTTTAAAATTTATAATTTCCCTGGCATTAGAAAACAACATAATTCAATTGATACTGTTCAATTTTATAAGTAGGTCTCTAGAGCTCATTAAAGGCTAATGAAATAAACGTGGGTTTTTGTTTGTTTGTGGTTTTTGTGTGTTTTTTGTTCTTGTTTCTTTGTGTTTTGTTTTGTTTTTATAACAGGTACTCCCCACTTTCTTCTCTAGCTGTGCTTGTGATTTTCCACCTTCCTTTTGGGAAATCTACAAGGGGAGAATATATTGTGATATAGAATGAACAGGTTCTAAAGGGACTGGGGAAGGGCATTGTCCCAAAAGAGTCACCCTCACTAACAGGGAAACCACTGTATGTCTGTGGCTCAGCCACATTTTTTGTTGGGACGCGTGTTTTTAAGTTAAAAGGACATCCATGAATCAAAAAAGACTAGTTTAGTTGTAAACATTTTTTAAAAGTGTTTAGAAGGAGAAAAAAATGCCAGATGGTATTAAGAACACCCTGAGCTCCAGTCTCACTGCTTTTTCCCTGAACCACCTTCATTCTTAATGACTGCTTTGACACCATCACTGCTGATTATCTTCAAGTACGTAAGAGGAGAAAATGTTTCAATTATGTTCTATCAAGTGGCAGGGCAATGACTCACCTGGTTAAGAACATATAGGAGTCCTCCCCAAATCCACATATTATCTTCCCAGGAAGCTTAAATGTCTATGTGTGTTTCCTTGCAAAAATGTACAAGATTTTCCAGACCAGGTAGTTAATAGAAGCTGATTTTTTAAAAAGATTTTATTTATTTATTTGACACACAGAGAGAGATAGTGAGAGAGAGAGCACAAGCAGGGGGAATGGCAGGCAGAGGGAGAAGGAGAGGGAGAAGCAGGCTGCCCACTGAGCAGGGAGCCCCATGCGGGACTCAATCCCAGGACCCCAGCACATGACCTGAGCTGAAAGCAGACGCTTAACCCACTGAGCCACTCAGGCACCCCTGATTTTCTTTTTTTTAAGGAGATGAGTCCTCAGCTGTGTAAGTCAGAGAGGGTTATGCTTCCCATACATAAGAAACTAATAATAGTGCTGACTGGAAGTTAACTGCCCTGTATGGGCACCGTGATGGTTCACAGGGCAGTTAACTTCCAGTCAGCACTATTATTAGCAATTATTTTCTCCTTTGACTGACTTTTGGATCTGATCAAGTGCTGGGTTCATCCTGAGTTACCAAGTTGTAGCCTCTTCTTTCACGGTGTCTCCCTTTTGGGTATGTAAACAGGAGCATCTAGAAATATTAATCCCACTTTACTTCATCACATTCCTTAAGGTGAATTCGGTATTTCACAAAAGCCTTTGGTAATGAAATAGTGAGTACCCGTGCGCCTCTTAGAACGAGGGAGAGTGGTGTTGGGTGTCGCCTGCCTCCCCCTCTGCCTTTTCTCCACCTCTGCCCCCCTCCGCCTCTTGTGAGGGCCCCCTCTCTCCCAGGATAACCTGGCTGAGCCCAGATTACGCTGTGCGCTCCCTGACAGCTCCTTTCGAGGCCCAGCTTCATGCAGCTCCCTAATGCAGCCTCCGTAAACGAGGCGCCGAGGACCCGGCGCCTGCCAGCCCTTCCCGGACCGCTCACCCGGGTGCTGCTATCGCGGTGGCGAGGCACTCCAGCCGTGCTCGTGCGCTCCCCGAACGGCGGCGGCGGCGGCGGCGGCGGCGTTGCTTCTTTTCTCGAGGTGAACCTCGGAGGAGGGAAGGGCTGAGATTTAAAAGGCAGGAATTCCTGTCCTGCGCTGCAGCAGGGCTGCCGCGGCGGCAGCACCCGCACCAGCGGCAGCAGCTGCAGCGAGTCATTTGGTGAGACTGCACCATTTTCTTCTCACCCTGCATAGAGGTGTGGTTGGGAGCCGCCGTAAGCTCCCCACGCCCCTAGCAGTTGCACAGACGTGGCCTCTTCCTGGCTCCAGTCGGAAGACACAGACTGTCTGGAGGAGTCCCCAAAGACTGTTCCAACTGGTGATGTGTGTCTAAGGAAGGCTCTTTCAACTAGTAGGATGCTTGCCTGCACTTGCGGCCACCCAACTGCTCCAGAGCTCCGAGTCTAGTGCTCCGCCTTCCCCTGGGACCGCTTCCGAGGGCGGGCGCACACCTATGCCTGCCCGTGTGCAGGTGTGCGCTGCTGGGGGGCTTGGCCTGGGACCTTGGTACGTTCTGGTGAATTATGGGTGCTGCAGAGGCTGGAGCAAGATTATGACCTAGCTCGGGGGCGGAGTGGATTATTTCGTGAGTGCTCTGGCTGCCAGCCATTGCCCTGGTGGGCAAAATCACATCTCCATCTAGCTCTAAAATCACCTGGCTTGCTGGGGAGTGGAAACTGAGCCGCGGTAGCTGCTTCTGCTGATTTTCTCTGCAAAATGGCTCACGCTGCTGCTTCTATTAAAAAAGTTCGAGAGGCCGACCTGGATGAAAAGGAAAAAAACCTTGAGAGAGAGAGAAAAAAACAACGGAAAATCCCCAGGGAACGTATGGAACGGAAAAGAAAGGTATGAGGAGCATCCCTTTAACCCCTTCCCTCTGAGGCTCTGTGTAGAACCATCCAGCCTCGGAACTGGCAACTTCATCTTCCCTTCCCTCCATCATTCCGCTGCACCATTTCCAAGCTCAGTTGGCAGCCTATAGCTCCTGTCCAAATTTGCTGCATTGGGAGGAGATGCCTGAGCAGGGCAAATTTTCTTCGCTTTAAGCATGCAAAGCCTTCACTTCGTTTTTCTTACTCAATCTCAGAGCCAGGTGCTTTATTCCTCCAAGTAACTCCGAACACTTGTCATAGTAGAAGGAAAGGGCTGATTTATAGTTGGAAGGTTAAAGTATTTTCCCCTTCTTGTTCCTCATCTCTGCTACTAGATCTTTAGCACTGCGCTTTCTCACTGACTGTATATTCGATGCAGATCTCTGATTAAGAATAAACCATAGGTTTTATTTGCTCTCCCCCCCACCCCTCCGTCTGAAGGTTGACACTGTTCTATGTGAAACTGCACTAAGAATATTGGTGCAGTGAGTTGTGTCCCTGCATCTTTAAAATTTTAATTCATTTATTTTCTGGTTTCCATCATTAATCTTATGATTTTCTCTACTGACTGTAGCAATTAGGTGAAAAGGACAAGGTTAAATAATGGGAAGAAATGTTGATTCCCCTTACATTAAACTATAGACTTGTCTCTTTCTGTCTTTTAAAATATTCTTTTCTTTAAAATAGAAATAATCTTACAACCTGGTGGAACTGAAATATTTCTTTAGCCAGTGGTCCGGTTCTATAGGGGAAGAAGATCTCTGGAAATGCCTTAATTAACAAAGTAGGTCACTGAATAATTTCAGAATGTGATAAATGGCATATTACATTAGCAAAGCATAAAAATAGTGATTTGTACACAAGCTGTTGTTAAACATAACTCCGGGGTTGGGGGTGCACTGCGGATCCAGATGCTCAATAAACCATATGCTCAATGCCTTTTTTTCCCTTCCTCAGTAATAGGTATGTTTACCTTTCCATTTTGGGGATGTTATCTTTGCCTCATTTTTGGAAAGACACTTGAGGACCCACATTGAATTGAGATCTTACTACATAGGGATTCATCCCATTTCAGTTTTACTACTTATTTCACCACTGGTTAGCTTAAGTGACTATTATTAGGCAACATAATTAAATAAAATTAGCAGTATAGTATAGTTTCCCTTCTGGGGGAAAACTTTAATGTTGCTTGTCTGAGCTTTAGAAGGCCTTATTTCAAGGATGCAGTCATTCTTTTTTATAATATCAAAAGTATTATTGACCCTTTTTGTGGGAGTTGGCTTCCTTCTTGACAACTACTACAGTCTGTTTCTAATCCTGTAAGTGGAACATTGCTACATAAAGCAATTTCCTGTGATTATATCTTTTTTTATCTTATGTTCTCCCAAACATAGTATGTTACTTCCTGGTCAGGAGTGTTTGTTCAGCCTTCAGTTGTGACCTAGTAACTTTGCGTAGCTAGAGTACCATGCATTCGCCTAGAAAATTTCTCAGTCTCACTCTGGTTTCTTTCTGTATCTGGTTCATTTTTCCCCTTTTCTATACTTTATTAAAATTGAAAGACTACATCATTAAAATGGAGAAGTGCCAAGAGTTGTTTATAATCTCAGTTGCTTGGTTGCTGCATTGCTTTAGCTTGAATCCAACACGGTGGGCAAGATCATTGGTTAATAATGTGGTCATATGACAGGATTGTCTGATCTTCACATCTAGCTAATACCATTAAGCTAGAACTAAAGAAAATTGGGGGAATAATGGCATAGCTATCATTTGTTCTTGTTCTTGTCCTCTCTCTCTCTTTTTTTAAACATACCAACCCAACCTTTTCCCTTTTCTACTGCAGATGCATGTGGTATTATATGAGTATTTACACAGCACAACAAATGCTTGCTAAAAGAGTGGCTGAGATTTTTACCTGTATCAGATTAATTTTTTAGCTCCCCACCCATAACTACTTGAGCCAGTTCTAAAATTTGGTCTGAGAGAAGAAAAATTTACTTCATTATTATTCTTTAAGGTATGGAGAATGGTAGTTCATAAAGAAATGAGAAAAGAATAGTTACCTCTTGGTGGCACTCTGGAACGCCATCTCCAGAAAGTAACCTAAAAATTATACTTTATTTGCTGTTGCCATTTTATTTATTTTTATTTTTTTATTTTTTAAAGATTTTATTTATTTATTTTGACAGAGAGGGGAAAAGAGACAGCGAGAGAGGGAACACAAGTGGGGGGGGGGAGTGGGAGAGGGAGAAGCAGGCTTCCTGTGGAGCAGGGAGCCCGATGTGGGACTCGATCCCAGGACCCCGGGATCATGACCTGAGCTGAAGGCAGATGCTTAATGACTGAGCCACCCAGGCACCCCTGCCATTGCCATTTTATAACTATAAAGAAATACATCAATTGTAGTGATGATTAAAAGTATCACTTACATATCCATTTGTAAAGTATCTTGCTAATGAACCTGTTTACTTGCAAAATTCAGATGAGACCTGCTCCAATGCAGACAAGAGCCAGCGATAGAGCTTGAAAAAAATAAATAAGCTGATTTGGAAAGATTTTTACTGAAGTATAAATTACTCAGTGTTAAATCAATTAGGCAGCCTCATATTTGGATCTCATTTTAAGATTCTTTTGTAACCTTGCTGTTGATTAAAAGAATCTTTGCATTATTATTTTGTACTCCATTAAACATTTTAAATAAATTTTAATTACTGTAAACTTGAAACACATTGCCTGCTTAGCTATAAGCCCTTTACCACGTGGTCAGTTGGTCTGGTTTTGTAAAATGGCTATATTTGAATAGTAGGAGACCTAGTTTCAACTTCATTATTGGCAGAATTTATCTTAGAATAAAAATGTTCAGGCTTTGAGCTATATAGCCTGGGTAGCTAATATTTAAATATAATATGTACCAAATGTATCTTGTATATGTGTCATACTATGATAGAGCTAGAATAAAACTTGCCTTTAAGCAAAGGGACCAAGATTAAGATTAGTTGAAGCAAACTAACATTTATTTGCTCAAAAGAATACATTGACATTCTAGGTTTTTATAGGAATAAGGATATTCCTGTTCTAATTATTAGCTTATATTAACTTGAGTCATTTCTTTGTATGTCCACTGTCTTATTTCTACACTAGAATCTGAGAATTTTAGAACTTGAGAAGGATGCCAAAAGGCATGATTTCTCACAAACTTCTAAGACTTAGTTGTAGGAAGTGACTTTGAGTATAATATTCTCTCTACAATCACATACTATTTTTTTTTAATTTGGAAAAACATAATTTCAGATAATCTGCAAAAAAACCCCAAAACAATTCCATCCTTGAAATAATGCATATACTTAAATAATGTTTCTCATTTAAACTTATGATAACCAGCTATTTTCAAACAATAGATATGTTTTCCATGTCTCAGCATGGACAAACCATTCTCCAATTCATCATAGTGTCTATAACACTCACTGGAATCGTATGTCATAAGAGGCAATTTGTATGACTAGTTCTCAGCATTGTAATGCTTAAGAAGTTCTTCCTTTATATTTTAATTTATACTATTCAAAAAGCCAGAGTTCATGTTTCCCATAAAAATTGTAAGATAAGGGCACCTGGGTGGCTCAGTCGTTAAGCGTCTGCCTTTGGCTCAGGTCATGATCCCAGGGTCCTGGGATCGAATCCCGCATTGGGCTCCCTGCTCAGTGGGAAGCCTGCTTCTCCCTCTTCCACTCCCCCTGCTTGTGTTCACTCTCTCGCTCTCTCTTTCCCTCTCTCTCTGTCAAAATAAATTAATAAAGTCTTTAATAAAAAATAAAATTTAAAAAAAATTGTAAGATAATATTTATTGAGTACCAATGTGGTCCTGTATCTGGCACTTTACACACATTGTACTATTTAATCCTGAGACAGGTCTATACATTAGGGATTATTTCTCGCCATTTTACAAATAAGGAAACTGAGATTCAGGCTTACGGAACTTGCTTAATCATATGCAACTATTATGCGGCAGAGTTGGGATTTGAACCACCAAGGCTCCAAAGTACATTGGGAAAAGAGGTAATGATTTCTTGGTCTTGTACCTACACTGAATGTAGGGCATAAGTAGATCATTTAATCTGTCAATGCTTCAATTTCTTCATCTTCAAAATACCTTCCTACAACTGAAAGGAATTTAATTACTGTGAGAATAAGTTAAAT